ACAAAACCACTAAAAAAGTCTATGGATACAAAACAGAGAATCAAATGTCTATTCCAAAGGAAATCGATTGTAGACGAACACCACAAGTTTAAAATTAAAACATTTATAAGGACTAGTTGTGATTCCGCGCGCGTAAATGGCGGCGATTATTGTTTGTTAATACTGTATTCGGTGTTTTTGTTACACGGTAATTAGGTTTTTGTACAGTGTGTTTAATAAGAAATTTAAATTATAAATTATGTTATTTGAAAGTAGTTGTTTAAAATTTTATTTAAGTAAATAACATTAAGGTAAAAAGGACTCAGCAAAAGCAACTCTAAGCCGTTGAAACCAAAATGTTGAGATTAAGGGCCTTGAGTTTAATGCAATGGCTGAAACTTTAAATTACATTTTTGAGGTTTGCTGAAAGCAAGCTTTGGGTTTTCAGCAACGTTTTATATAACATGGTTTAGTTTACCGTCTTCAGTTGTCGAGGTCTAGACTAAGTAGTTCCAGTCAGTAATGTATACAGTGATAATAAGCTGTTGCTGAAGCAATAAGATGCTGATGTTGCTGAAGTAATAAGCTGCTGCTGCAGCAATAAGCTGCTGAAGCAATAAGTTGTTGCTGAAGCAAGAAGCTGCTGCCGAAACAATACACTGCTGAAGCAATTGATTGATGCTGAAGCAATAAGCTGTTGCTTTCGAAGCAATAAGCTATTTATAGTTGAAGAATGCAAAGAAGAACGTTGCATAATGGCGGTGATTATTATCAGTGATTACTTTATTCGGTGTTTCTGTTACAAGGTAATTCTGTTTGCGTATTTTGTGTATGTCGTTAAAATTTTTAGTGTTAAATGTAATATAAAAGAAGATTGTTGCATTCAAAGTTAGTATATGGGATAGATGTAAAATAATTTCACTTAAAAAGGTAAGTACAAAAGTACTTTTGTCATAAACAAAAATGGTAAGAAAAATACTTTTGTACTTTTCATTAGTTGATCTTGAAATTCTTCTTTGAAGTTTAGGGGTATTCATAGATGTAAAGGTCTCATAATAGAGCTGAATAAGTAATAATAGACCACTGTAAACTATCGATGAAGCTGAAGGAAAAAATACTAGCAGAAGGTTTTGAAGTTTTCTTTTCTAATTTGATTGAAAAGTAAGATCATTGATTTAGTAAGCGTTTCTAATTGACTTTAAATGTGAATGACTAAAAATTAAGAAAACAGTGTAAATATCAAACTTGAATATCACTTTATTTCTTAGTAATGTTGTATAGCACAGAATTGGATATTTACATAAGGCCATTGTTGTAAAACATTACTAATAAATATGGTAAAGAAATAAACTTAATTAAAAAACAATGATCTTATTTAGCTCTCCAAATCTTTCCTTTTCCTTTCCCTATCATTTTGTTTGAATAGTAAAGAAGGAAACAAAATAAGGGGAAGGAATAAGGAGGAAAAGGAGGGGAAAGGTGAGCTCCATTTTCCTTCCAAATTTGGAGGATTAATGCGTATTAAAGAGATGGAGAGAAAATAAATCCTTCCCTCTCCTTCCCCCTCCTTCATCAATCTTTAACCCAAACAATAGAAACCATCCTCCTCCCTTTCTCTTCTCTTCTTTTCCTTCCATTTCCTTATATCCAAACAAAGTGTTAATTCTTATATCAACCTAACAATACCTTAGAATATTTGTGTAGACAATCTCTTATAATCACCCTTTCCTACCATAATGGACATACATTAAAATAATATACGACATCCAAACTTAAGGGGGATTTACCAATTGTGACACACCATATCATAAGCACTAGACAATTTAGACCATTGCAGTATTTAGTGACAATGTATAAATCTTAATAGCAATCCGATTCCCGCCAATCACTTTCATACGGATACACACTTTTGGATAGAACAAGTTACTATAGTGGATGTTCATGTCTAGCATGTTTTTTCACTCTTCCGCTATACAACCATCTTCAGACACAAAGAATCTTCCTCATCAGCTACTAGTTAGTAGTTCCTACCGATTTGATTGTAGGGTGCAAGAAGAGGTGATAGGAAATCTTAAATATACTTGGAAACAATCTCTTACAATTTATTAGATACCCCTTTTCTACCATAATGGGCATACTTACACTGGATACACAACATCCTAACTCAAGGGGAATATATTAATTCTAAGACGTGATATCATAAACGTTAAGACGATTTAGACACTTAAGCATCAAAAATACCAAAAGGCGAAGCATTAAATATTGGCCTTTGCCATTATTTATGCAAAAAAGAGGTAATGATTAGTGTCCGAAACCAAAACCAAGCAAACAGCCACAAGACTCATGGTTGATCAGACAATTACCTACACGGTCCTTGAGTTGTAGACTTGGTCGGTCAAACTATATCCATGTCTGTAGATGTTTTAAGAACTAAATAATTTCTCTTCAAGTATCACCAACCTATAGTTCATAGCAAACTAGAGCTGGAGAAAGCTAAATTTTATTAACAACCAAACCTATCATACATGAATGGAAATGTAAATAAACATGGTTATGCTACCCCAACCTAGAGCACATAGATGAATGGAAGAATTGTAAATGTGTAACAGATGGATTACTAGTAAACACCGACATATAATATCAAGCTTGCAGTCTAAATCTTGCATATCCTTACCGACGTTTCCTAAAGCATAAAAGTTTCCTTCTAGTTTGCCTTACTTAATAACTTTGCTTCCAAATTTATTTGCAATCATTTGATGGACTCCACTTCCCCTTAAGTAATCTACCACTACAAATAATATCCTTAGTCTTAAAGCTTGACTTAGCTTATAGACTTGCTTCCAGTAATGATTCCATCATTAACATTATAAGTCAAATTATGGAAACAAGTAACTTGTAATCCAAATGAGGAGAAGGAATAGGATAATATAACCATATATGCAAATCGAAAATTTGTTTAAAAGTAATGCACAACCATAAAATTAAAACATATTGGATATGAGGAGCTAATACCAAATCAAATAAATCCACAGAATGCATCAATTAATTTTTACTTAATTCAGATCAACTAGTATCAGTTCATAATAGGTCTTATAAATTCCTTATAATAATTGTGCAAACTGACTCCGCAACAACATAACAAGCATAGCAATATAGCTTCAGGTATTGACCAAGTCATATGGCCCATAAAAGAGAATGCCTTTGCCCTCATCTAAAAAAATATGATGCACCAATGGACAGGAAAAGTTTTTAAAAAAATAAATTAAATGGCTTTCCTCTGAAAATGAGGAAGTAATGTAATAAAAAGATAAATAGACGATAAGATCTGAAAATAGTTCAGCAAATTAAGAAACAAAGATTCTGCCTGCCCCAATGTTAGGTGAAGTAGGCAATCTCAAATATAGAATACATAAATAAAATAAATGGCTCGAGTATATCTAGAAAAGGGAATACTCTAGTTCACAAACCTCGGACATTGGCCTGTGATGTCTTTCTACTTCAGCCTCCATAGACTGAGAAATATGGTGCACTCCAAGACTTCTGAGATGATGACCAGACTGGGTGACTGATGGACCCGAAAAATAAGAATTCTGGCCAACAATGCCATGTCCATGATGCCCATAGGTAGCCGTATCTGGACTAGAAGTGAAAACAAAATTCCCAACACCTGATCCTGGACCAATCCTAGGAGAAACAAACCCTGGCAGGAAATCTAATGCTGTTTGCTGCCTTCCAGCTGGATTAGTGGTTAGAGGAGCCCAGGGAAGGGAGGGAAGGGAGGGCCACTGATGGTAATATAAATTATGATCCATTTGGTGAACATAATCACCACCAAGAGTATCATAGCTTCCAACAGCTAGGATGTGATGATGCAGATGATGCGAGTGGCCTTGTAGGTCAGGCAATAGTCCACTCTCAATTAAATTGCCAACCCTTAAACTGGAGTCGATAGTAAAAGGCGACTGAGACAGATTTCCAGAAAAGCTAGGAGCAAGCACCATCCTGGGCATGTCTGGTGAGGTGGAAGGCCTGGAACTTACACAGATATCATTGAGCCACTGCCACATAGGCAATGGTGATTGTGAGGGATATAGAACTGAAGGAAAAAGAGGATTCCCATATGCAAGGAGTGCATTATACAGTGTGGGGATCTGAAAGGTATTGATAGCTAGCCCTTGGTTGAAATTTCCATGAGGCACTACAGGATGGATACTGGCAATTGGACGAGGATGGATGTTATAGCTTGAGTGAAGACCAGCGCCTGTTCTCAAGACAGGATGTTCTTGAACATTCATCTGAGTAAAATTCCAAGGTGACGTCGATGATGTATGGGAGGAGGAATCATTCAAATGAGCTGAAAGATCATTCGACAAGTTGTTTTCTGCTTGTCGAGGACCACTAGAGCTTCCCACTTCAAATGTCTGTCTTAAACCACGTGGAACTTCCCTCGTCTTGTCAGCTATATTTTGAATGCTGACTTTAGGATCTGAGCTATTATCCTCTTGCTTCCCCAAAGAGCTGGCAGCTCCTACAGAATAATCGACATTGGAAGAGGAGCCCATTGACAGCCTTGGCTCAGCAACATTACTGACAACTGCACCTCCTGCATTTAAATTTGGAGCCTGATCAGTATTATGGTCAGAGATCAGATTCCCAGTTGAACCAGGGACTTTGTTGAAATTACTGTCATCTAAGCTTGGGACGATGCCAACATGGTTTGGTTTCTTCTGCAATGAAGGGGTAAACCATGATAATGTTGTGTCATGCATGGGCTAGACTGATCAGAATTACTGCTTACGCTTAAGCATACATCCTGATCAGCTGCATAAATATACTACATATGTAAAACACACTACAATCAATTATTGAAAACCAAATTAATGAGGATTCATCATACAACTTCAGAAAGACAAGAAGAAACACCATTGTTAAGAGAAAGAGAATTGAGGTTGATCTCAATGCTCTCAGTAGTGGATTCAGCATCACTACTTCGACCTCTGATTAGGGACATTGTGCTTCTCCTGTCTCAACAATTTCCAACTAGAAAATTTGCTTTATATTCCAAACCCCACCCACACAACTAAAGTTGCAGGACCTGCATAGAATTAAAACATTAGTAAAAAACCCTTAGTTGATAGTAAGAAAATAAAGACATAATAATACAGCTCGTAAACTAAATACAGAACCAAATAAAACATTTCAATAATACAGCTCGTAAACTTGATACAGAACCAAATAAAACATATCAAATAACTTTTCATGAATTAAAGTGGAAGTTCACTATGCAGGCATGTAATCTGTCCAGATACTTTATTTTTTGTTTACAGCATAAGAAACTCAGCAAAACTCAACCAAATTAGCATAACATTCCAAGCCCTATTCTGTGGCAAAAGTGACTTGATCATGTCTTGGGAACACATTGATACAAACACCTTATGAACTTGAGACGGATATGCTATGCTAGAACTAACAAAATGCAACCTATGCTATTATACATATTTGTCAGAATGTAAAAAGTTCCACCAGGCAGTGTACATTGTACAGTACATACTCTTATCCCTGATGTAGGATTTCAGGGTCTTCAAAAGTATTTGGAAAGTGGCCCCCTTTACAGACAAACTCTAAAATAAACAAAACAATCGGACAAGTGGGGATCAAAATACAAAAGATTACCTTATAACTTTTTAAGGCTAATAAGATACTTCACCTTTATTGATTTGAACTTGTTTGTGGTCAAACTCTCATATCCTAACTTTCAAAACCTGTTTATAGGCCCAATGAACATAATTACAATAAATAACATAAATATTTGTTTAACCCAAAAATTTCAGGTTGTTTGATAAATACATATTAGGAGCTACAATTTTGTCTCAAATATATATATATAGGGGAGGGATCCGGTGAGAATAGGTACATATGTGAGAAAACATACTTATATGAGAACTGATCTAAAATTTAGAACATGTGAGTAAAAATTTAGAACAAACTCCCTCCGTCCTTATTTAGATTCCTACTTCTAGCATTTATTCCTCACATAATAGAGAGAAGTAGGAATCTAATTAGGGGACGGAGGGAGTATGAGTAAAAATTTAGAACACATGATTTAACTTATTAGAACACATGATTTAAAATTTAGAACACGTGAGCAATAATTTAGAACATCTACGCGCGTAATAATTTATAACATTTGATTTTGGATTTATAACGTGCGATTAAAAATTTAAAAAACCTGATTTAAAATTTGAAAATTTTGAATAAATTTTAGAACATCTGATTTAAGATTTAGAACATGTGAATAAAAATTACGAACACTAGATTTTAAATTTAAAACATAGGAGTAACATTTAGAACATGTGAGTAAAATTTTGGAACATACGAGTAATAATTTAGACACATGATTAAAAATCTTAGAACACATTTTAAAATTTAAAACATATAAGTTAAAATTTAGAACAAATAATTTAAGGTTTAGAACATGTGAGTAATAACTTTAAACATTTGATTTCACTCATTTAAGATTAAGAACACGTGATTTAAAATTTAGAACATCTGATTTAACATTTAGAACATACGAGTAAAAATTTAGAACATACCCGTAACAATTTAGAACATGAGAGTGTTCTCACATATGAAAGATTTCTCACATATATATGAGCTACAATTAACAACAATTTTTTTAAGAAAATCTAGAATGCCACGTGTCTCTCTTTGAACACCTTTTTTTCTTTTCTTTGTTTCCTCTCTTTAACTTAATCTTTATTTTCTTCCAATTTCATGCCCATTTAATAACAAATTTTCCTTTCAATTACATTTTTTTTTTATTTTACTCTAATATCATGCCTCTTCGCCTCAAACAAATTTCATGTCCTCATCCCAAATAAATTTCATGCACAAATTGAAACAGAGAAGATTTCCAAATTTCTAATATTATTACAATTTAAAATTTCAATACAAACTGCAACATATAGTCTTTTAGTCATATGATGAAATAAAAAGTAAAAATCATTTTTATAACCAAAACAAAAATTGTGGACATTGTCGTTAAAACAAGTTTATATTAATAATCATTATTTAAGGTCATGTTTTTGAAAGGATCATCGGCCCTAGTTTTCCCGTTGTATACGAAAAACTACGTCCCTCCCTCTCAACAACAGCACACAACACAAACTCAAAATTCGAGATTTAACATAAATTCAATTAATGCTCCACCAACGCATGTAAGATTAAATAACTACATTTGGCAAACAAACTACACAACTATATACATCATATTAAATGAATAAAACTAAAAAAAAAAAAAAACAGCATATCAAAAATGATAATAATAAAGAAATTTTGTTTAAAACCACCCACTAAGTCTACTTTTTTGTCTAAAACCACCCACAATAAGAAAATGTTGCCTAGGACCACCCAAATTAAAAAATTTGTTGTCAACGCCACCTGACTCATCTTTCCGGCATTGACTAACGCCCAACCACCAAAAACAACGAGCATACATCTACACCACCTCCCAACCGCCACAAGACCGCCGACTAGACACCGAAAACATCACCTATACACTCACCACCACACAACCACCATCCTTCCCCACCGAAACCACCCAAAACCACCAAGGAAAAAATCCCACCCACGCCCAAAACCACCCTCCCTCATCGAAACCACCCAAAATCCATCCGGAAAAAACCCACCCTCTTCAAAACCACCCAAACCCAGCCAATAAAAGGGGGGGAGGGGGGTCATTAAATTTCACGTGCAAGTCACGTGGGTCAAGTCAACGCCGGACTTTTGAGTAAATGCCGGAAAGATGAATCAGGTGGTGTTTGACAACAAAAGTTTTGAAATGGGTGTTCCTTAGAAACATTTTTTATTGTGGGTGGTTTTAGACAAAAAAGTGGATTTAATGGGTGGTTTTAGTAAGAATTTCCTAATAATAATGACAGTCAATTCCAACGAAACAATCAATTTAATCAACACCTAGTACACCACCAAACCAAAAACCACATTCATGAAACAATCCAAGAATTCAAATTGGAGAAACCAATACTTAAGCTAGCCATTAATCAATCAAAATTGAAACATCAAATTATCAAAAGGAACCAAATTTAACAAATAAAACCAAGATAAAGGATTGAAAAAGTGATATAATCAAAATATTTAGAGAAAAAGAAGTATAACTGAAAATATTTAAGTCAATGAGAAAATTTTACCAAGAAAATGGGTTGAACTTGATAGAAATGAGTTTTGAAGAAAAATAGTTTTTCTTCTTGAGTAAAACCGGTAGAAGACAAGCCAATGTGATGAAAATAAGAGAGAGAAAGTCAAAAAGAGTGAAAGAAAAGGAGGAAAGCTAGAGAGTGAGAGTATGTGAATTGAACAAATAATGCTCTTTGACTATATTAGTTTTATTTTATTTTATTTTTTATTTTTGTTAGAAATGAACCATTGGATCAATAATTAGAGATGGTATTAAGTGTGAGGTATGAAGATTAGTGTGAATATGAATTATTACTATATAATTTGATTTCTTTCCATAGATGAAGTAGCATTAATTGGAAAGTATCCGGATTGATTTGCATATTTATTGCCTTTGTGGTTTTGTTAAAGAGCTTTTTACCATGTCATAATTTTTAATTTTGTGAAAATTTTCACCAAATTTGAATTGAAATACTTCCTCTGTTTCAAATTAATTGCAACAAATTAAGACAAACGAAGCAAGTGGGCTTTGGTCCCCACATGGGGAATGAGATTGGACAAAAAAGCCCTTATATAATGAAAGGATAGTTAGTGGGTGTTGGTCCCCACAATGCTTCTAAAAATAGTTACGTTGCAGCTAAAAAAGCATCCATTTTAGGGAAGTGTTGCAACTAATAGTACATTTTGTTTTCCAAATAACTGCGTATCTTTAAAAATAAAGTCAAATTAAACCTAGTGTTTGGTTCATGGCATTGCATGTCATACAATTAATTTAATGTTTATGTGAATTAAATAGGTTACCTTTGAGGAATTTTACTTGTTTAGCCTTGGCTTATGTATTAATCTATTCACCTCTACATTTTTCCATTTAATATGTTACCCTTGTACCCTACAATATTTACACTTTTACACATTATCTTACCACAACTCCGTAGGTTTTTTTTTATTATTATTACAATCACAAATCTATAGTCCCCTATAATCCACCTCTTCACTTGAAGAAAGAAAACGTAGGTAAAAGTTGGTATTATTGCAGTTGAGATTATTTAAAGAAAATTGGGCAGTTGGGATTATTAAAATGAAATTTTCCAAAGAAATATTTAATTATGTACACTAAAAAAATTATTAAAAAAAAAACCAATTCAAAAATCAATCAGTGGTTAAACAATGAATAACTAGTGTATAAGTAAAATTTCTTCTAATAAATAAAAATATGTTACAATTAATAAAAAACAATTTTGATCAATAGTAAATAATTTTAATCAAAAAGCAACATCATATGAGCTAGACATGACCGTCTAGAAATCTCTTTTGGAAATCTTACAAGTTTGGTGTCATGTTGTAACCAGACTATCAATAATTTAACTCTTGTAGCTTGGTATCATGTTGGTAAAGCCAACAAAAACAAGGAATATGAGGCAGTCTTGGGACACATTAAGCATGTACAGTAGCTATTAGCAAGCAAGCTAAGTGATTTTACCTTTGAGGTAAGTAAATTAACATCCACAACGTGTTCTATTTTGTGTATAATGGTTCTTTATAGAATACAAACTTTCTCAAACGTTATTCTATACACAGTAAAAAGTTCTAGCATGCAAGGAGATGACCATATAAGACCGATAAAGTGGTATTGTAAACATTTATATTCATGAATGCAGCCTGCAAGAGATCTTGTAGCCATATAAGTTAAATTTAAAAGTGGCCAGTGGAGTGAACCAGTCTAGGTGGGCTTAAAGCCCTCAACTGGTTCATAGCAAAGCCCAGCTACGGATATGTGACCTAGGATTGGGCTAGAAAGGAAATTGGGTTGGAGTGTTGGAAACCTGGACCAGGTAACATGCCTTTTCCAGGCGTGTTCAGAGCTTCAGGCAGACCTAATTTTTTTGTCAACATTGAAAATTCCACCTGAAAAGGCCAGGCCAAACCAAGTGGGCTTAAGTGGGCCAGTTAGTGCTAGGCTGATTATACGGTTTAGGCCCATGACCCACCAGCCTTTCTAGGCCCAAGTTGGGCCAGCACTAGCAGCAAACTAAGTCAGGGTGATCTCAGAACAACAAAGCCCTCTGGCCGCTCCAGCTAGATTATAATGCTAAGACAACTCAAAAACAAAGTTCAGCAGAAAAGGCATAAAATTTGAGGATAAAGAACAGCTCTGCACCTTGTGTGGGAAGAAATAGAGTGAAAGTATGAAGCTCCGGGATACTTGTTCTCTGAGGGCACCTTTAGCAAGCAATGATGGCCAGAGACTAAAGGCTAGTTGAACCTTTAGCTGCAGGATGCAAGGAATGATTAGATTAGCAGAATACTGATTATGAAAGATAAAATTGTTTTTGTCTATCATACTGCATTGTCCATAATATGAATACGCCTTACAACTCACAAGAATACTGAATTAGAATTATGTCATTTTGCTAATAAACATATGGTCCTTAATGACTAACCAAGTTACAGGAAATTCTTGGCTTGTTTTTTGGCAACTCACTCTTTCAAACTAAGTCTTGCATTCTGGACTTTAACAGAAAGGTTCAACTTCTGGTCCTCCATATCTTTCAGAACTGCTAGCAAGTTTGCACGATAGACCTCACACCGCTTGTTTGTAATATCCAACTCAGCTGTCAACTCTTGGATTTTCTTAACCTTCTCTTCCTGTAGCATAAAAATTAATTAGTACTCTTATCAGCAACATACAACAAACCAGCATCATATTCTTGCAGCATTATTCTAAGTGTCAATTGTTATCAGTTAACCCATTGGTGCAGTCACAAGAAAAAGCTTTATTGCCAGTTTCCACTAAGACGACACTGAGTTGGAAATGATCCATAATTCACAAATGCAAAAGAAGATAACCTTAATCTACTAGTAAATTTCAAATTAGCAGATGAAAACTGATGCTACTGCCTAGCCAATAACTTGTAAAATTATATTGTTCCGTTAATACTGCATTAAAGTTTTCAACAAGTGCTACATGTATAAAATTTCAAAGTTATCAAAAGCAGCACATTTAAGTACTTGTACTTATCAAGAATATATAAAGGGAAGAACCTACTATACAGAAGAAAGGATAGAATTAAAAATTACAGCATATAAGACATTGTAATGTAAATGGTATTTCCAAAGCTTAAGCTAAACTTACTGCAGGTTGGACGGATGCCACTGAACTGTCACCATTTGCCAGAGAGCGACCTTGTGAAACTCCATGACCTTGGTTCTTCACAGAAGCAACCTTTTTTGCAGCTTCCTCCAGGGCACTCATAGCTACATTGTAAACCTGAATAGATTTTGCACCTTCTTCCACAAATTTAATAACTTCTTGCCGTAGGTTGTCATATCTAATAGTCAGAGACTCTCGGGAATTGGTTAGTTCCCTGACAGCATGTTCGTCCAATGAACCTCCGCTTTTGGCATTTCTTGTCCATCTTTTCAATAAGTAATCTGAAGGAAGAGTAAGAACATTTTTTGCTCTGAAAACTGCTAATATGTGCCTACATATGACACCTGAAAATTCAAACATTTGGCAGCTACAGCTAGCATTTGTTTCTAGAGAATTGTAAGTAACAATATGAGCTCTATGATCTTCCCCAAACTTAGCTACACGAAGCATGGTGACTCCTCCTGATTCCTCTAGTTCTGTAGCAGTATTAGCGAGGGTCTCAACAAGCTCCTCTTGGAACTTCATAAATATTTTCTTGGTGTAAACATTAGCAGCCTGTTTCTCCATTGGTGATGGGGTCTTCAGCATAGGCATTGTGTTACTCGTATCATCATCTGCCTGTAGTTCCTTCTCATGCCAACTCCCAACAGCTTTTTCATAATCTTTGATCAGCCCTTGTAATGTGGTGTCAGAAGTTATAAAACCATCAAAGTATATATTTCTACCCTCATTTTCATCACTATAGAGCTCGCCGAAGAAAGTGTCCCGCATGTAAACAGGCACCCACATACGCCGAGCATCATAAACTGACCGCATCCATTCATCATCCATCAGATAATACTGCTCCAAAAGTGTTCCCCACCTTGATTCAAATTCCCCAATCGTCTCACTCTCATCAACACACTTCCTGAACTCTACCTCAATTGTATGATGTGACTGATACACATGACCCAAATGGGTTTCTGTCTCTCTAAACATGTTCCATTTACAATAACGAAGACGGGTATTGGGCAAAACTTGAGATACTGCCATCTGCACAAACCTAGCAGGCTCTGTTGTGATCGAGACTGGGCTTTGACCTGACATCGCATGAAGCCATGTTTGGAACAGCCAAATGTAGGCAGCCTCTGATTCATCCAGCATTAAAGCACAGCCAAAAAGTGTGGGCTGTCCATGATGATTTAATCCTGTAAATGTTGCAAAGGGTACTTTATAGCCATCGCTACAGTATGAGGTGTCGAAAACCACAGTGTCACCAAAGTAGGTATAGTTAATCCGGGAGGTAGCATCAATCCAGAAAATATTGGCAGTTAATGGATCATGATCGCCCTGAATTGCGTAGTAGAAATTAGGATTCTCAGTGTGTTTACGCTTCAGGTAATCCAATACAAGCTGACTCCCACCGCCCAGGGACCTTTGCCTACTCATGTTCATAAATATCACTGCAATGGTAACCATTTTCACACAAATGAAACAATATCTTTCTTTTTTTTTTTCCTTATCAGGGTTAAACTAATAACCAAGTACTTGTATGCAGTGATATGCTAGTCATCTCATTACTCAGTACAAAAAGGGTCTAATTTTATACCAGGGCCAATTTCAGGACCAACATTCAGCTAAATTTTCACTTTCCTTCAAAATAACACCACGAAAATCTAACCATTGATGCAGGAAAGCAAAATTAAAAGTACAAAACTTACCCAAAATAAGTTTATAATTATCAAACAAAACACACATGTATTGGCAAATTTGAAACGAACATTCACTAAAATTTTCAAATTTCTTCGAATTACAGCAGGATAATTTAATCTAACTGAGAAAAATCAAAATTAGATGGAAAAAACTTTCCCAAAATTGAACATTATGTTTAAACAAAAATCATTAGTTTTTCCAAATTCCCCCAAAATATGCTACATTATGTATAATTGGCTATGAAGCAAGATGATTTCATAAAGTAATAATCATAAAACAACAACAATAAACATATAAAACAGTGAAAGAAAATAAGATTCAAATTACCAGGTAAACTGATAAATCAACAAACCCTAAGAAAAATATATGAAGTAATCCAAGGTAAAATTCTAATAAATTTTAGATAATGGACACTGGGTAAGCTGCGCGCCAAAGCCTAAATCACCGGAGAATTTCTTCGATCGCTGATACCTAACTGTTGTGCCGGTAAAGGGAGAAAAATTGGTGACGTCTTTTCGAACTACGTTTAGAAAGAAAACTTCGAATAAGATTAAAGGGGATTGTATTTTATTTTAAACATAAATTTAAACAACTTCAAACGCTAATAAATAACAAACGATTATGCATTGGAAAACATGAAAAATAGAATTGTTGCACGTTTATAGTAACAAATTTTTTTTGTTTTGGTACGAAGAAGACCCATTTTAAGGGGAAAGGTAAGAAAATCCCTCCAAAAATAACCTTGGTGAGATTTCATCCCTGACCTCTAACTTGGAGAACTAGCAAAATACCCTAGCTTCCTGTCTCGATAATAACAAAATACTTGCATCTAATTTTGTATGAACCAAAAAAAAAGACTATCTCAAATACATTGCATCATGTGGTCCTAAAGTAATTGTAAGTCTCAAATGATTCGGTTAAAGAAAGATGAATAACAGTGTTGCAATTATTTATAATCATATAGGTGTTTTCTTTGTCCTTTTTTTGTTGTTGTTACTTGCAACATATTTTATTTTACGCTTCACTCATAACTTTAATTACTAATATTGTAAGCAAAAATAATTAAAAAAAAATTGATAATATAAAGTATTAATGGAGACGGATGTAACAAGATTCTTTGTGAAAAAACATGTTTGGTAAGGTTGGAAACATATATAATTAAACTATTGTCATTGCCAAATGCTTGCTTGAAAGGTTTAAGACCAAACAAATGAAAAGCTAAGATTTAACCTTTTTCCCTCTTACGAATCTCATCTATTTCTTTTCCATCTTGTTTCTATTATATTCTGGCATATGGAATGGAAGGTAGAACATTTTTTGGGAACGAGATTTCCACAAATAATATTAAATCGTAAATTAATTTCTTATACGCGTCGAGTTAAAAACTAATTTCAAGCATAACGTGCACGTAGACTTGGTTTCAAGATTTATTTTGTAAAACTGCTAATGGTGATGCCTATTTTAGTTAAGTAGAACCTCTAATATATGAACAAAGTAGAACCTCTAATATTATTATCACCATTAGTGGTTCTAGGCATAAAGGTGAAGAGGAGACTTATAATAGTAGTGTATTACATGTTGAAAATATTATTAATTGAAAACCACTCTATTGTTATTAGCGAATTTTAGTCTTATAATTATAAAAATAAAACCTCTATCAATCCTACGGTATTGTGAAAAATATTTTTTCATCCAACCCATATAAAAAATTAGTTTACATTTTAGCATAATTTATTCAAAGTATTACGAGAGTTTGTTTTATACATCCAGGTGCACACCCATAAACATATTGATTTCTATTTAATCATTAATGAAGAGCAAAAATTTAACCTTGGATCAATTGAATACACGGTACTTGGTACACCCAAATATATGTACCAGTATTAGATTTCACCTTCAGAGTACAATTTATCAAATCAAAGTAAAAAAATATTATTTAAAAAATAAAAAAAATAAAATCAAAGTGTTACATAATTATAGGGAATAGGGAGTATTTGTCCTCGTCCTCTCTCTCTCAATCTCCCGCTCGATCTCTCTCTGTAGAATTCCCATCGAAGCGCATTCTACGTTCTCCATTGATAATTCTATCCTCCATTGAAGCAGCATTTGAGGTGAGATGTTATTTCTTTTTGTATTCATCGAATATCAATTTCACATTCTAGGATATATCGTTGATTTTTATCTCAAAATAGTCAGTTTAGGGTTCTTCAAAAGCCGATTAATTGTTGAACCATTTGTCATATTAGGATTACGAAATATCATAACGAGCAATTTTGTTGCTCGAAAAGAAAACTATGTGATTATTCAAGCCTTATTTGATTATTGAATCAAATTTGTCACTGATGTTAGGATGAAACAATGAAATGGGACCTCTTCTCCCTAACAGTATGTGATTATTCAAGCCTAATTTGATAATTGAATCAAATTTTCCGTTTGGGTTGGGATGGAAGTACGGAACTATGAACTTGGACCTTTATTCCCTAAAATTATGTGATTGTCAAGCCTAATTTGATAATTGTATGGAATTGCCTTTAACGTTAGGGTGGAATTATGAAGTTCATAGCCGTTTCTAATATTCTAGTGGCCCGGGGCAAGATGATAATACTTTTGTTGAATAAATCATTTGTGTCGTCTTTATAATTATAAATATTTACGTAATTTGTAATTAATAAATAATTTTACGTAATTTGTTAATTATTTTAATTGCATTATTTACACTTTTTCACACACCTCTTTTGAATTTCTTTTGTGATTTATTCGTTAGAATATTATATTTTTAAATAGTTATATGTGATAATTTATTTCATTATTAATCAATTTATTACATGGTTATTACACATACAAAATGTGCATAATTACACTTCTACATTGAAATTCTTCTTTGATTTATCTCATTCTATGAAAGAGTATTAAATTGACTTACTTGTTTCAATATATAATTATGAGTGAGAAATCTATAATTATGAGTGAGAAATCTATAATTATGAGTGAGAAATCAATAATTATCATGTTTCATAAATGTATCATATCATAATTAAATTATCATTTCTTATCATGCTTGTAAACATGTCATTAAATAGAATTTATCAAATAATCCAAGAATCACAATCTTCTTATAATTATGACACTTTAATTTTCAAAGTATATAAAATACAAGATACTATGCGAATATTAAAAAATCCATACATGTATACATACCAAATAAAATTATCAACCACTTAAAAATCATCTCACTCGATTCTCCTATATCGTAAAAATAATTATTGTCCAAATAAAATTGCATAATTAAAATATTTTAAGCCTAAAACAAGAAAAACCTTCTCATGTAAGAAATAAAAACTTGTAAGAAAACTTCTGAAACAACTACTATCATTAGTAACACATACACATCTAAATCCCTTCCAATTCAAAGTGGAATCTTGATTTTGATGACTTTACTATAAACTATTACTATAAAAAAATAATATTCATTAAGATATCTTTATATAACTACAACTATAATAAATCATTTTATAATAAATTCAACGGCTATTTCACCAAATGCCACTGAGTAATTGCGAAATTTACCAAATGCTATCCAACTTTTCAAAATTCACCAAATGCCACTGACATATAGTATATTAACACCCCGTGCCATTAATGATGTTTGGACGTTAGTTGACCGTCAGCATCCGTTAGTTGACCGTTAATTGACCTCATCACTTGCCACGTGTCACCTTGATTGGTCCTTTTTAAAAAAAACATATTTTTCTAAAAAAAAAAAAAAAAACCAAAAAAATATAAGAAAATGAAAAACCACCCCTTCCACCACCCACTCCCTGCCGTCGAACCCCAAAACCTTGCCACCGGCGACCTGCACCCTCACCGGCAGGCGTACCGGCGGCCGCCGAAGGAAGCCCTCCCCCTCCCCTTCTTTTTCCCGTCGCGAAACCCTTAATTCTTCGTCGTCTAACGACGTCGTTCCTACTGTTGTTGCTGTTGGTTATGCTTCCGCCGATGACGCTGTCGTTGTGAATAACTCCTCCACCACTGCCGGTGTTAGCTGTGAACGTAAGTGAGGTATGAGAGAGAAAATCGAAATCATGTTGATAAATGAGGTTGTTTTTTTTTTTGGGTTTTGTTGTTGATTGATTCTATTGATTCGATTTCCATGGACGGCAGATGAACACAAGCTATTTTTGCTTGGATTGAAGGTAAAGGTGATTGGCGAGGAATTTCTAGAAACTTCGTCAAAACTCGAACTCCATGGGCCCAGTTTCAACGAACAGCAGCAGTAGCAGCAATTCAATGGTGAATGTTCTGTTTTTTTTTTTAATTTATTAAATTTTTTTGGTTTTTTTTTTTTTAAAAAAATTGGACCAATCAGAAGATGACACGTGACAAGTGGTGGGTCAAATAACGGTCAACTAACGGCCAATGACACTCGGTGAATTTTTTTAAAATCGGTGGTGATTAGGGGATTTTTATCCACCAATCACCGTCTGACAAGTGGACCAACCAGGTTCCGCCACGTGTCCTTCACGAAGGCCAACAGGAGCCTGCCACGTGTCAATCACAGATACGTCCTCTACGGACCAATTTAGACGCGCCACGTGTCCACCCATGCCAAATGGGAAAACCGGCCATCAAGGCCCAACTCAGTCTAGAGGCCCGATCAGCCCTAGGTTTACCTTAAACCTAGAGAGTGGCACGCTTCTCAAGGCTATAAATACTCAATTAATCCTCATTAATTACAGGGTGGAAAAAAGCAATCAAGCAGAGAAGAACAGAGTTATTACGGAACATCAACAACCGGCTAATCTCGCTAACGACGCAGATTACCAACACTAAGCACTCTCACCTAGAGAGATCTCATTACTTTAATTTCTGTATTGATTACTCCTTAATCAGGTACTAACTTGACCGTTGGAGGCGGAGCTCTCAGGAGTCTCCGTTATTTTGCAGGTACAGGCGTCCGGTTCCAGTCTCGGAATTGTAACTCTCCCGCAGGACATCAGAAAACCCCGAAACATTTGGCGCCGTCTGTGGGGAGAGTACTTCAGAGATGGCATCCAAGTCTGTACCGACTCCAGAAGAGAGGCGTCCCCTAGACGACCCTCAAGTTCAGTCGGACCATGATACCGAAAGTGAATTTGAAGTTGAAACTCATACAGCTCCAGACGGGACCCTAAGGGCCCGACGTACCCGCCATACCGGAAGGAGGGAACGGGAGCATCTTCAAACAGGAAGCGAGCCAGCAGGCGCACCGCTTGCTCGGCAACAGCCGACTGATGGGTCTGCTCCCATCACAAGGAACGAACTCATGACCTTCATGAGGGACTTCAAGGGAGAGATTCAAGAGTTGATCAACAAAAAACCGCCTGCTTCAGTCAAAGAGCAGTCGGCCAAGAAACCTTCCACTTCACTGAAGAGGAAGCCAGTGCAAGGGCGAGAGGCGACTCCCCATCCTAAATCCAAGAAGCGGGAGCCACCTGCTCTTGATTTTACAAAACTCCGTTATCCTACGGGAAATAGGAAACCGGTTCGTCATATTCAGGCGGACGGGTCAAAGCAAACGTTCACAGATGCTCGGCTCCTGCTAGAGCAGAAGAAGAGTGACCGATTATCAGAGTCGGCTTCTACTTCAAATTTCCAGGACAGTTTGCGAAATGCCTCGATGAGGCATACTCAGTCGTACCATGAGAGTCAGTCAGGCGGCACCTCCCGTCAGTCCGGCTTTCATAGTGCCCAGGCGGTACCAAACTTACCGTTTGTGCC